CACCACTACAATTTGTCTGAATTTCTCTGATGAGGTGATAACACTATTTACATTTAAGCTAATGTCCTCATCTTTGTTCTCATTGTCACAGTGTTTCCTACCTTCTTTGAGCATCTATCAATCTCAGTAACCATCATGCAATTTCAAACTGAACCCTTTCTTTAATCTATATCAGTAAATTGTTCTCATTCCCCTGTCCATACCTAAAGATATTATTTCTTATTTGTATTTAGTTCTATTTAGTTATTACTCAACTTGTTTCTATGGAGTCTAAAGCACCACCCAAACCAGAGACTAAACACCTAATTCCTATTTGCCCAAATTCATGAATCAACTCTTTAATCTTCTAGGCTATTGTTCTGTGATCTGGACAGGAGAACAAGAACAAGCTAATTGGTACTCTATAGCTATTCCCATGGGAAATATTTCAGTGAGCTCCTTTCTTTAGACTGTTGCAGATGGTAGGAAAGAGAAAGGGAGAAATTTGGTCTGTATAAATATCCGAAGGATTTTCATCAAAATGTATTCCTCCTTTTTGCTATGCATAATAAATGACGTGAGGAAAGACATGCTGAAAGTTAACAATATTTACTTACAGAAACAAAATATAACAATGTACTTAAGTGAATTTATTCACTGTGAATGCAGTGTTAAGAGATGGTTATTGAGAATGTTCATTGTTTTACTTTAGCTGCATAAGGATTTGTCTTCAGTCGGTCAAAGTTTTCAGGGTTCATACTGATAATGTTAGAAATAATACCCAGATTTAATCTTTTGTTTCAAGCATGATTAGTTTATGAGTTATATGAAGTTGTTGTTTGACTTTGTATTCCATGTTGTATTTCTGTGGTGCAGTAATTCGTATCTATTCTTCAATTGTCTGGGAGATAATCCTTTGGTCTGATCATAAAAATGGCAACAGCATCATGTGTCTGTCTGTGTTTGTGTCTGCCTGTCTCTCTCTCTCTCTCTCTGTTTTTTCACTGTCTGGGCCTGTTTCTGAAATAACTATGGGTAGGCTCCCAAATAGGATTTTGGATTTAAGTGGGAAGGTATTTCATTGACCAGTATGGACAATTGAGGACATTCAAAGATATTGGTGTCTGTTGCTATACAGATGTTGTGTAGGCATTTGTGTACCTAGGAATATAGTGACAAGACCTTTACAGCCAAGACATGCCACGCTACTTCCACTGAGTTGCATCACTCTCAACCCCTTTGTATTTCAATTTTTAAAATTTTTTTTTTATTCCATTCATATAGTTGTTTTGCTAAGAACTTCTGCTTTGTAGAACACACTACTGTGTGTATGCTTCCTTGAATGCGGCCTACTTAAATTCTTCAAGTCAAAAGTTAATTGTTACCTTTATTCCATATTCTCATAATTTCCACTTCCTATACTTATATTCATATCAAACCTATCTTAAGTGACTGTTGAGCCTTATATTTGGTGAACATGAGCAAAAAGAAAAAAAAATATTCTTTCATAGATTAAATGAATGGTTCAGTTTGAAATTCCCATAAGGAATCAACAGACACCTGAAGGAGACTCGAAGGCACAGTGGCTGAAAGGCTAATAACAAGAAGGATAAGGATATTAGTGTAAATATAACTAATGAAATAATGTTATTAAGTTTTAATTATTATATAAAAAAAATAATACAAGGTGGTAGTAGAAAGACCCTAAAAGAAAACACCAACCATTCCCCCAGTAAATAATATATCTCATACGAGAAAGCTGAAAGATAATTTAGCAATGATCTTCATAGACCAGTTCATAAATCTTTACAACATTTTCTGGTGCTGATCATTTGCCCTAACTGCTAAACACCTTGAACCAACACTCAAATTCTCAAACATCGTAATGATTGCAGAATGATTTCAGTATAACATTCTTCTTCTATGTGCCCCTCGGGATGTTGGTGGTCATGGCTCACCACAATTTAGTGCTCTTTGTAGCTCTTAATAAGTTTTACCTTTTTGTTATCATTTCTAAACCTTGCCCTGTCATCCATTTACTCATGCTCAATAGGTAGGTCATGCATTGTTTTCCTCTATCCCTCTTGCTTTCAATCTGTCCTGTGAGTATCTAATTTTCCAAGCTCACTTTCCTCAATATGTGCCTTTGAAATTTCAACTTTCTGGTTTTAAGTGTAAGCGTTTTTTTTTGCTTCCATTTTCTTTAAAATTTTGTCATCCCTCACATGTTTGGTCTGTGGTGTTCTCCGCATCCTTCTGTAGAACCACATTTCTGTTGTCTCAAGTCTCTTCTTCATCTGTAAGGAGATGGTCCAGCATTCACTGCCATGTAGAAAGACTGATATTACATAACATTTCAGCACTCTTTTCTTTGTTTCTAATGAATTTCTTCTGTTTACAAAAAACTAATTACATGTGCTACCCATTGTTGTTGTTGCTGCTGCGATTAGAAGTGTTCAAGTGATGCAGTTTTTATGATTGGCAGACTGACTCAGTTGACTAGGTACCAATGAGTAGTAGTCATGCATGCATTTCCACTGAACAGTTTAATCATAGCACTTAGAGTCCGGGTATCTTTCTGATAAGATCCACGGAGCTTTTATGGAAAATAGCTACAGTTAATTCTGCTGACATTAACAGGAAATGGCAACATATAGTTCCTTTTTGCTCATTGGCAGCTAAAAGGAAATTCCCAGAAAAAGAATCAAGTCTTGGTTTACTGCTAATAGAAACCTATTTCTACCCCAAGTTGGCATTCTTTTATAGAATGATCTCCAAAAGAGAAAATGCTCTTGCTTCATGTATAGGTTAAAGAAAAGGCCATTGATTGTAAATGTGATCTTCATTCAACTATTCAGATAAAGTGTATTCTGTCTTTGAATAGAATGAGTATATGAAATATAGCATTGATTTTTTGGCATGTAACATTTCCAAACGCCCACACAAACCAAAGATAGAACATTAGCTGATTATTCTAAACAAAAATAATATCTTGTCAACGGGCTTAAAATATACAATTACGAAAATAAATCAAACCAAAACTGACAAAAAAAAAATATTTTTCAAGTCAAATAATATCTTATATTATTTGAATAAATTTATTTATATTTAGATTATTTACATTAGGACTTCTTTTGTGTGCCTTCAGCATGAAGGCAATCATGGCTCTCCCCAATTTCCTGTCTTTTATTTATCTTTTTGTTATCTTTCCTTTACCTTGTTTCAACATCCATTTACTCAACCTCACTAGGTAACTTATGTGTAGTTTTCCTCTGCCCTGTGAGTATCTAATTTTCCAAGCCCTCTTTCCTCATTATGCATCCTAGAAATTTCAACTTTCTGATCCTAAGTGTCAGTTTTTTCCATTTTCTCTAAAACTTTGTTGTTGCTTACATGTTTGTTTCATGGTATTCTCATCATCCTTCTGTAGAACCACATTTCTGTTCCTTCAAGTTTCTTCTTCATCTGTGCAAAGATGGGCCGACATTCACTGTTATGTAGGACTGATATTACGTAACAGTTCAGCACTCTGTCCTGTGAGTGTCAAAATTTCTGAACTCTCTTTCATATCCTAGAAATGTCAAGTATAAGTGTTCTTTTTGTTTCCATTTTCTCTCAAACTTTGTTGTTGCTCACATGTTCAGTCCATGGTATTCTCAGTATCCTTCTGTAAAACCTTTTCTGTTGCCTCAAGTCTCTTCCTCGTCTGTGAGGAGATTGTCCAGCATCCACTGTCATAAAGGAGGACTAATACTACATAAAAATTTAATACTATTTTCATTGTTTCTAACAAAATCTTTCTGTTTTTTAATACTCTAATACTAAATGTAGGAGGACAGATATTGCTTAACAGTTTAGAGGATTGAATCAGTGTGCCTATAATGATTAAAAAAAACACAGCATTCCCAACCTGAAGGCCACAGACAAAATAGGTAAATAGGTTCCTTCCTCATCATGCAGTTGAAATAGTCATAAAGTTAAATTAAATCAGTTTAATATTTTTGAGAAATGGTAATTGTTAAAGATAGAGAAAAAGGGAGGAGGAGGAGGAGGAGGAGGAGGAAAAGGGTCAGTCAGACAAGATTTCACACGTATTCCAGTTGTTTGTGTTTATTAAATACATTTTTATTTTTTTAAATGAAGCAAAATTTACACATAATTTTTAAAAGAATCAATTCTCAAAATGCAAGACAAAATTGTGTCCTGCATAAGTTAATGTGGGATACATTCTTCAGCATAAATACGTGGGACAATATCATATTTTATGGAATGGTTGGCAATCCTAAGAACAAGTAGGAAAATCTTTATGAATATACAATGTTTCACTATTTATTTAGCATCATCAGAAATTATCAAAGTGGAATAATACAAAGTTTTTAAATTCTATATTGTTTTGGTTTCATTGATTGTATAAATTTCATTGATTGATTCATTTTCTATGGTTTATCAACATTTTTCAGCTTATTTAAAGCCAGAAATCATTTTTAGGTTGTATGAATTATTTTTCAGAGATAATGGTTTAGTGATAAAGTCTTACTAATTAACCCATAGCTGGGAGGAGAAGAGGTGGATTCATATTTAATCATAATTTGATAATGAAACAAGAAATTATAATGTTGATATAAAGTGGGGGATCAATTCTATATTATAGTCAATATATAAAATGACCCCTCATTTTGTAGACACAATAGTTTCTATACATTTATCTTCCAGAGAATGTAAATAAATCTAAAAGACATGCCTGTGTAGCTAATCAGTATTTGAGCAATTGATTTGTTTTCTACAACTTATCAACCCTTTGCAGAATATTTAAAGCGAGAAAATATTCTTGGATCATAAGAACATTTTCTTTAGATAACAGTTTAATGATGCAAATCTTACTAAATAATCCATCACTAGGAGGAGAAGATGTGGATTCATACGTTTCCCAAGGGTATTTGCATATAACGAACCCAACACGAATTGGAACTCAGCTCTCTAAGTGACAATTCCAATCCATTATACCACCCACACATCCAAGCTTCCAGTACTTGGTATTCCCAAGCAATCACCCATCTAAGTACTAACCAGCCTCAATATTGCTTAAATTCAGTGATCATATGGGAACCAGTTTTTTAACATTATGTAGCTGTCAGCCTGGTTGTATGCAAGTCACATGCATATTTTATGGCATTAAGGTGTATTTATCAATTTTTAAATTCTATGTTTGCTTTATTTGTGCAGAGATCACACCTGATAGCATTTGCGTCTTTGTTCAATTCTTGAAATGCTAGTCTAATTTAAGTGTGTATTAAAATTGGTTATATTAGTGTATTTGATTGTATGATAAATATGATGAATACTGAAATTGAATGTGGAATATAATATTACATTAGGTACCCCCAAACATTTATAAAAAAATAAGCATACATGATGAAAAAAATGCTCAAAATTTAGTCTTATCATCAAAATCTTTGCTATTATTAGGAGAAAAGACAAAAAGGTTCTTTGATTATTTCAAGAAATTAATTTTTGCAGTGCTTAATATTTACATTAGTTATAAGAACAAGTCCTTGGAGAATTTAAATCACCACTTTTTCTTTTATAAATCATGACCCTCAATTACAGAAAAGCTGCTCTTAATTGTAAAATAAAAAATGCAATAAAAGAAAGACATTATTTCATTAGGAAAGCTTTTAATTGCTCTTATGAATAAGATATAATATAGACACTATTATCTTAAAAAAAAATTTTTTTCGATGAATAATGAAATTTTACAAGAATTGTTTCCATTTGTAAAAAATTTTAATTATAATAATTTATAAAGTTTTAAAATTTTAAAATTTCTATATCAATTTGTAGCTGTAAGGTGATATTAAGTCAGTATATTTATTAATCGGAAATAGAAAAGCTTAGTAAAATTCAGCGACCCCCAATATTTTAAAAAAGCTTTCGGCTTCTTCAGATTAGAATAAAACATAAAAGTTCCTTTCTCTTCCCCATTTATGTATAGCCTCGTCTTATCATCAGAGATTCTAATGCATTTTCCTTTTACTTAGTTTTGTCTTCCACTTTGATCTGCAAAGTAGCAGACCTTCTCTCGGCCACTTTATCTCATTATCTTCATGTTTTTCGGATAAATCACAGACACACACACACACACACATATATACTAGAGTTGATTTAAAATTTATTGTTAATTTTCCAACATTTCTTCAACAGGTGCCTTTGTAAGTAAGACAAAAAAGCTGAAGTGCTTCTAAAATTCAATGAAATATTAGATTACTTAGAATATTTTTGTAAATTTTAAAGATTATTGGGTAGTTAAAAAATTATATAAAGAAGGAGCTCATGGTATATTTGTCAAGTAATTTAACAGTTCTCCTGTAGAAAACATTCCAAAACTTAAATTTAGCAAGATAGTTGCCAACAACTCTCAAAAACTCACCTGTGTTAAAATATGCTTCTCAGTGCTAGTTTAAACTAAAGTAAGTAATATTTGTTAATATATTAAAATCAGATTAATTAAACTTTAAATCAGTTAATATTCCTTAAACAAAGTTTCAGAAAAGTATATTTTGTTTTTGAAAAAATTTTTAATAAAGAGAATCATATTGTTTACAGATTTGCTAATATGGCTGGGTTTTTGCAATTATAATGATTACAAAAAAAAATACAATCAATTTAAATTTCATTTGAAATGAAGCAAAGTATTTTGATTCATGGAAATATTAAATTTAATCTATTAGCTTGGAATTTAAACTAAAATAAAAACTTCAAGAAAAAATTTTTCATTTTTAAAAATGCATTTTAAACCTTAGGTATTTGTATTACATTATATGAAAATGTTTGGATCTTGCAATACGAAAAACGACACATACATAACACTAATGTCTTGAGATATACATATGACATCTACACAACCAATGAAAATCAAATAACATAGAATTTAAAAATTGAAGCATTACTCCATATTTAAAAATTTTTTTTAATTTATTTTTTTTATTTTTTTTTTTAATAATTTTTGTTTGATTAAAAGTAAACTAGACTGAGTGGTAATTAAATAAAAACTGACTGGAGGAAAACAATATTTTCAGATTTGTCAGTAGATTCTTTCTTGGCACTTGTCATAGGCTACATATAACCTTTAACCTTTTAACACAGTGCATAATTCACTACTTTCCTTGCCATTACACTGTTTTTCAAGGTTCCTCTGCACTATTTAATTTCAGTCATGGTCAATTTCTGTTGCCATAGCAGGATATGACAACCCAACTGCAAACATTCAAACATTAATCTGAGTCACTTGCAGTGGCAAGATAAAAATTTTTGCTTTGCAAATAAAATCACCTCCAGAATGTTAAAGGTTAATGAATGATTCTTTCCTTGTTAAAAAAAAAATAAAAATAAGCATGCTGACCTGAAATAATCATTTTTATTTACCATTTAAGCACTCCAGATTATGATTATCTAAAAAATATTTCCTTTCCTTTATTAAATTTTATGAGAGTTAATTGGTGGGATCTAGTTTGCAAATTTATACCCCTCCTCTATGAAAGTCAAAGCAAATATTCTTGTATGATGTGACTCATGAAAATGTTAAAATATACTTTCATGTTTTAAATTCATAATCAGAAGTGCTTAAACAATAGTAGTATATGAAAAAAAAATTCCAGACTAACAATTTAAAAATCATGTTGTATGAGTATATTTTGTTTTGGCTTCTGTAGGGAAGATACAATTGAAATATCAATCATGACTCCCTAATTAACTTTTTTAAAATTTGATAAATAAAGTTATTTTTTATATATGTGATCTGGAATGCTTAATCTATAGTAATATGAAAAAATATATGGAAAAGAAAATATGAAAAAATTTTGTAAAACATATGAAAAGAAAATATGAAAAAAATAAAAAATAAAAATGAAAAAAATATGACAAATGTGAAAAAATATATGAAAAAAAATATGAAAAAAATTTCACTAGAAAAATTTAAAATACAATGTATCTATAATTAGAGACATGTCATAATAAATCATTCCCTCTTAAATAAATCAACAATGTTTTGCTGGAATTTTTAACATCAACTTGAGCTTTTTCTTGTTAAAAAGTTGAATAATTTTAACACATTCAATATTACAGATAAGAAATAGTGAATTTTATACAGTGTTTTTTTTTTTAGACTAAGCATGACCAAAACAAATTTATAGGTTAGGACAAAAAAGAAAGCCCAAGAATGACATCAAAATCCGCAAAAATGTTTCATCCTTTAATAGTCAATGGTGCTTAGTTTAATTTGTAATGTATATGAATGTAATTAGAAAAAAAGAAAATGTTGACAAGATTGTGAGAATCATAAAGCAATGCCTTCACTGAGCAGACCAAGGAAGAGCTTGGGTCTTTCTGTATTTTGGCTTCTTATGAATTTCTGTTCCAACAAAAGAATTTCTTGATGCAAACAGCATACTGTTGCAGTTTGGAAGAATTCCATTCATCATTTGTGGTTTATTATCATAAAATATTTTGATCAGCATTAAGAGAAAGAAGTTAGACATTTGAAATTAAAAAGAACAATACACAAAAATTATTGCCTATTTAAATGAACAAAGAGATATTGACTAATAAAATTCAAAGTTATCCTTGGATAATTTGCGAGATAAAATTTAAAAAAAAAGGATGAAATTAAGAGAGAAAAATTTAGGTGAGAAGCTTAAACCTAATAATTTATTCAAATTTATTGACTTGGACAAAGAAAAGCTCAGAACAATGAATTTCACTTGCTTTGAAATGCAAATCTTTACTCAGGAACAAAGATCAAAATTAAGTTCAAAACTAAGATCAACTTGAGCTTTGCAAAGATGAAGCAGATTTCAATTTTAAAACGAGAGGAAGTTTAAAAATAAAAATAAAGATTGCATGAAGATTAAAGTGTTCTAATTGATTAACAGGACATTTCTTTAGATCAATCAGGTTTTGTGGAAAAAAAAAAGAAAGAAAGAAAGCCTGTTAGAATTCAAACATACATACACAGTTGCCAAGTGAAAAGAGAGAAAACTAAATATGAATGCTAACTTTGAAATATGACAAAATCAATTTTAATAAAATCCAAATTGTATTCAATGCTTTTCTTGGAGGTTTCTCATATTCTGTTCAATAAAGACACAAAGAAGAAGAAAAATCAAAGACTTAATTGTTATCGTGATTATCCTCAGAAACAAAACATAATTACAACCTGATTTTAATTTAACCCTTTTCAAAGGAAATTGAACTGTTCTGTCATTTTGACAATACAATGAATCAAGAAGGTTAAACTCAATTGTTAAAGCAATGAATCAAATGCTGTGATGACTCAAAGTTTATTCCAGTTAATTGTGAAACTCACAACTGCACTCTCATCTCACAGAATGAAAAATGAATAAAATATGTTCGTGTAAATCTAAAATTTATGTTACTTTAAAGATTTTGTAGTCCAGGGTATGACAATAAACTACATTTGGCAGCAAGGCCTCTGATCAAGAGATTTTGAGGAGTGTGCAACCACTGATTAATTGCTGTTGTTACCAGGTCCACCCTGACCCTGTTAGGACCCCAACTATTTGCAAATAAGGACCCCCTCAAATACTATGAAAGTATAAAAATACATGTTCTATAGTAAAAATACTAGCAATACATTTTTATATAGTAAAATTAGCAACAATAACTATTAAGAAAATTATCAACAATATCTATTTATAGTATAATTATCAGCAATACATTTTTGTTATATACCATACCTATGAACACTAATGGGTATGTCCCAATCCTCATAAATATATTGGACACTATTCTAAGTGGAGGTAATATGCTGTCTAAGTAGTCCAACACTAGCAGTGGTTTACCTACTTCACACTGCTGGTGAGTATTGTATTTGTTTGATGTTATAAAGATTACCATTTCCAACCTCCATTTTGGTTATTCCTCATTCAGTAAACTTTTCTAGGTTGCAACAATTTTATTTTATACATTTTACCTGTATATTGAAGGCATACAATTGCATTCAAAATATATTTAGTTGAAGCCATAAAATAGTCTTCAAAATATTTAGATCTCAGCATTAAATAACCCAGAGTTGATATGCCACGAAACAAAGTCAAGCAAT